ACATGTCTTTGAAAGGCAAATTGAAGGTACTCGTGCACAGGATATAAATACATCTAGTTGATGGTATTTCATTTTTCATCACTTTAAGGTAAATAAAAATAAGTGTGTGAACCATTTGGTAAAAAAACAATTAATTCATATCTAGCAAAACAAGTACTATATGCTAGAATAATTGCCAATCCATTTATTTAAGTACATTCATCTCAATTTAACTCATATATTTACGAAATTTCATAATTTATGGAAATGTAAGTGTTGTGGAGCGATACAGTTTAAAGTATCAAAAGAATTAGCGATTGCTTCCCAAAAAAGGAAACATCTTGCATATTTCTATAACCTCGGAATACAACTTCTTTATGAACAAATATCAAACGAGCTAAGAAGTTCTTGAAATGCAATAGCTTACTGACAGTTGATTTGGCAAATCGAATTCGATGCGTCCTTTTCTAACCCAGTGCTTAGCCGACGATCATGCCAATATCTTTACTGATGCCTGTTTGTTACATAAAGAAATGGCTAATTCACCCTAGAAAAACAGTTTAAATGTTTATAAAAGCATCATTCAGCATTCATTCAATAATATTTAGAGATCGGAAACACCTAAAACATAATAAAAGTGATTGAAAAGCAGACTATACGCGTGCTACATTATCTACCATTCAAAGGCACCTGGTATGCATTGGATCTACAATCGATGGAAACACTTTTAATTACATGTTGATTATAAAAAATAATTCAATTGTTTTAAGTTTATTGTCTAACTATTAATGCCAGGAATGGAGTAACGAGAGAAAATGAAATCGCAAAGAACGAATGGCAAATCGAACAGTAGGAATTATATAATTTTTAACGAATCGTTTAATTTGATCATTTTTAATAAAACAAAAATTAGGTGAAGTAAAAGAGGGCTGAAAATGGGAGGGAACGAAGAACTCAAATAGATTGAAAAATAGGATATTTTCTTTTATACAACTTTATTACATATGTTTTTGTAAAATGAGGAAGGTCCAATTAACCTATCAACTAGGTGATTTGAAAAATCATTGAAAATATAAATTCATCAATTTGAAGTATCCTTGTTTGGTAAATTGTCAATTTTAGTATGACCATAGTCATTGTGGCATACATAGCTCATATGTCTATAAATGCTTATTGTCTATTTTAGGTCAGCCGTAAACGTGAGAAAATTTTGAGATAACATAGTGAAAAAAATCGATTGAGAGGGAGGAAGAGTGATTCACAGATGTAATCAGACAAGTGGACACAAACGCAGAGAAAAGGCAAGATGAGTACTGTTGAAGTGGTTGAATTGGAAATATAGTGGGGTCATGGTAGTTTGAAGTTATAAGTCAATTGCCGATTTAAAGACTTTTTTGCCGTATAAATTTACGTTGTGTATGGTGCAACGCGTGGAGGTAAGTCTATCGTTCACATCTAAATTCATTTATATTGCACGATCAAATTTACAATTTCTATTTTAATTCTTTATTATTCGGAGCTAGTTTTTTTATTAAAATTTACAAATAGGTTACATTTAGTTTACGACAACTACGTTGATGTATGAAAATTCAAATTGATTAATATAGTTAGCACATTGCAAACAAATTTCTATGTTTGAAATGCCGGCTTTTTTGGTTGATTTGAAAGATCGCTTCTACCAAATGCCTTAAATAGTTAGATCCCACAGTAATATTTAAAATAAAATTTAGAAATGTAAGAACAACAACATTTATTTGCAAAAATCATATTTTTAGTCTGTGGCGGATTGCCACACTAGTTAAGCCTAACTGACTCAGAAATCTCTTTGGCAGTTTCTAATACATCTCGCTAGACCAATATAACAAGCTAAGCAATAGCCCAGCTATTAAAGAGACAGACGTATAACACAAAACACGTTTTTCAGTAAAAATATTGTTATGTAATGACATGTTATGTTAAACAAACAGAGGCTACTGATTGGCCACTGTTTGTACCTCCCAATCCTGGAGTGCAGGTATGCGATAAAGTGTCTCACATTTTAAGTAGTTGCTTACGCAAACACAAACGTTTTAGTGACTATACTTTAATTAAATGAATTATTATTATTCTGATTATAACTCACTCTCTTTGGATTGAGAATTGCTTGCAGTAATATTATGGATTCTGTCCATATTTAGGAATCGTTCCAACCTCTTCACATGATGCTGTTTCTCTTTTCGATTTTGATTCATTTAAAATCTAAAAGTGTGGGTAAATGAAATTTACAATATACAAGCCGATTAGAATCTCGATTTTAAATTATTGAGTAATAATATATGGTAAATTTTAACTAAATCAAATTGAAAACTACACATTACTGATAAAAATGTAAAGGAACCTTGATTTAGATTAACTACTATTAATTTTCTCGCCTACCATACAGAAATGAAACATGAGGCATCAAATTTGCAATGTGTTTACAAAGAGGCAGCTTTGATAGCATCTTTAAGTGAACTTCAAAGTGATATTTTTATTTGTGTTTTAAGTTTTTGCGATAGATTAACCTCCACGCATATTTGCAACATGGGGTGTGCGATAGACTTAACTCCACGCGTGCACCCTGGGCAACGTATACTCACACGGCAAAAAAGTCCGTGCACCCTGGGCAACGTATACTCATACGGCAAAAAGTCTTTTAACTGCACCCTGGGGAACGTATACTCATACGGCAAAAAAGTCTAACACCCTGGGCAACGTATACTCATGCGACAAAAAAGTCTACACCCTGGGCAACGTATGCTCATACGGCAAAAAAGTCTATAAATCGTCAGTTGACTTCTTAATTCAAGCTACCATCACCTCATTCAATTCCATATTCGACTGCTTCTACAGTACGCACCTTAACTTCGTTCTACCTTTGTGTTTGTCTCTTACATCTTTGAAACACTCTTCTTTTCTCCTCCCCTCGACTTTTTTTCAATTTTATGTTCCTCTCTGTGAAGCCTGAAGTCAACTTAAGGGCTAATGATAACCATCGAGACGCCTGCCATATGATATATTGGGTTGGCCACTAAGTCATTGCCGTTTTTGTTGACCGATTCACTCTATACTTTCTTTTGTTTTGTTAACGTGGCCAGAGCATCTAACCTATATTTTTTCTTACTGTATGGGCTTCTAGGTTAATTAGTAAAAAATATTTTTTGTTTAGTTCTTTAGTTTTGTTTTTATCCCAATTTAAAAATGAAAGAACAGGACGTGCACATCCGACACATTTTATTGTATTACTTCCGAAAAGACAATAACGCATCACAAGCACAAAAGAAGTTATGTGCCGTATATGAAGATGAAGCCTTAAAAGAAAGGCAGTGTCGAAATTGGTTTGAAAGATTTCGTTCCCGTGATTTTTCACTGAAAGATTCCCAACGATCTGGTCGCCCAGTCGAAGTGGATGAAACCCATATCAAGGCCATTATCGATTCAAATCGTCACTGCACAAGACGAGATATTGCAGAGAAGCTCAATATGCCGCGTACATGCATTGAAAAAATTAAAACCCTTGGTTATGTCAAGAAACTTGATTTATGGATCCCTCACCAGTTAAAGGAAATTCATTTGGCGCAACGGATTAGCATCTGTGATTCGCCGCTACTGAAACGCAATGAGAATGATCCATTTCTGAAGAACCTAGTTACTGGCGACGAAAAGTGGATAGTTTATAACAATGTTACTCGCAAGAGATCATGCGTGAAGCAAGATCAACCAGCCCAAACAGTATCAAATGCAGCAGAGATTCACCAAAAAAGATTATGCTGTCAGTCTGGTGGGATGACAAAGGAATTTTGTATTTTGAACTCATGCCGCAGAACCAAACGATAAAATCAAATGTGTATGTTGAAGAACTCGAAAAACTGAAGGATGCAATTGAAGATAAGCGGCCGGCATTATCAAATCGGAAGGGTGTTGTTTTCCACCATGATAACGCAAGGCCCCCCCCCCGCACATCTTTGGTTACTCGGCAAAAATTATTGGAACTGGGTTGGGATGTTTTGTCACACCCAAAATATAGCCCTGACCTTGCGCCTTCGGATTACCATTTGTTTCGTTCCATGCAAAACTCTTTAAATGGTAAAACTTTTAACAACGCGGATGATGTCGGATCACACCTAATTCAGTTTTTTAATAGCAAAGACCAGACATTTTACGAACGGGGAATTTTTATTCTGCCAGAACAATGGATAATGGTCATCGACAAGAACGGCCCATATCTAATTGAATAAAGGTATATTTTTAAACAAAAAATCGGCAATGACTTAGTTGCCAACCTAATAAATAAATAAATTTGTGTTTTAATGTAAAAAATGATTTACGTAATACAATAGGTTCGCAAGTTATACACGGTTAATCCTTATTAGAACGTAATCACTGAGCACAAATAGAATTTTAGGGGTTATTTTATTTCATAACATTTTTTCATGCTTCCTAGTATTTCATTCGTTCCTCGCAATTAATTCCATTCTATCAAATTTTTTCTAAATGGTCAATTTCAATACGCCAATAAAAATTAATTTAAGAGATTCAAATTCATACGAGTTGCAGGTATTTACATTTTCTGCATAAAGGAGGAACCGACCCATAATCAAAATGAATAACTTTCTATTTGTCATTGTCTTGCTTCAAATAGAGAGCACCCCTGGAATAGAGAAGTCAGCTTTGTCTGTTCCTGCATGTTCAAGAATTGTGTCAACGCCAAAAGGTAAATCGAACCCTATTCTGTTTGCTGCAACCTCATCAAACGTAAGGAGATTTTAAAAGGAAAAAAACAGTTTTGTTAATATTAGAAGAGTATCTTCATTAATGATGGAGGTGGTGACAGAGTCGTGGAAATAAAAGCTAATAGCTGTTATTTGAAAAACGAAGTTATCGGAGAACCCTGCTATATTGGTCAAGGTTAGATACCTTTTCTACATTTTTATACACATGTCTTTTATCTACTCATAGAATTTTTCAATATTACAATAAATAACATCTCCAAATACAAAGAGATGCGTTATCTTGGGTATACATACACTTGTACTGTCCAATTTGTCCCGAAATGTTTATTCCAACCTGTTGAAGCAGGTAAGATAAGGATACACGTCGAAAAGTATTATAAAAGGCTTATTAAAACTTGTTTATGGATAGAAAATATGAATAAAAATGTTTTTGTTACTGTTATTTTTAGGAGAAACTCTACCTGAAGTGTCGTTTCCATTTATCAGATTTGCAGATGGAAATGGTTCTGTTACTATTAATTTCGCCATACAAGGAACAGGTTACAGTGGACTAGTGGGTTTCCCTTCATTTTATTTACGCATTCGAATTTGATAGTACTTAATATTTATTCTTTATCGGTTGATTACGAATCAATGCAATTGCGTTCCCGCATAAATAGGTTTTAAGTTAATACAACTTTACCATAGTAAATTTGTTTGATATGTTTTTATTTAAGAGCTTTCTGAAAAAAGGGAATAAAGTATTGTGCACTTGGCAAGGAAGAAATTTTATAAAGGAATTACCCAATACTACATGCGGTAAGTGACACTGGTTTATCTTGCTACTGGCATTCACACAGTGGGATTGAAAATTCTTTTTTAAAGAAAATCTTAGGGAAAATGCGGAAAAAGGCAGGCTTGATTACACATTGGAGTATTTTCGAGTTGATAATGAAACGAGCACCCATTTCCTACTCGAATCCTCAAGGTCAAGCGTTGGTGTTTCTGTTTATTGGGAGAATGGAGGCAAGTTCATTATATACATATATAAATTTCGCTTTCACAAATTTAACTTATTGCTTTAGGCGATTCACCAGATGCTCTTGAATGTCAAAGTTAGTGTTTTTTGTAACTACAATTACAATATTCTAAATAATTATATTAAATGAAAGAGGGCCATTAATAAGTACATTGCATGTGAACTGCCAAAATTTGCAAATTTCCAGGTTATCAACAAGAAACAACAACATGTTCTGGTAAGGCTTTTTAGAAAGTGCAAATCAGACGTTTTTTTGGAAAAAAATATCTAAAAATTAATTGGGTTTTCATTCGCCATCAGAAGAATAACGATTGTAAAAATCAATTAGTCATTAAACCGTCCACTTAAAATTAAATCAATGATCTCTTTTATTTAATTTCTTAAAAAATGTGTTCATTAACTAATAAACCATATCTCATCAATTAAATTTTATTCATAATTAATGCAAAAATTATGAGTTCCCGGAAACTGCTGCTAATAATAGACGTTGAGAACAATAAAGTGATTCGATAAGACTAGTGAAGTACATGTGATAAGAACTGTTAAATAGCAAATAGCTTAATGGAAATTTATTTTAAAAGCGAATCGTTCATGAGAGACAACATTTACAATTTTTTCAGAATATCAACAAGTAACAACAACGAGTTCAGGTTAGTCATCTTTGAAAATCATTAGTTACATTGCATTTTAAATTGTATCAAAATATTGAACGATTTGTTTTTACTTACAAGAGCTAAAATCCATTTCGTTTGCCAGTAGAATGACAATTCTAATAATCGATAAATCATTCCAGCATTCTTTTAAAATTAAATTGATTAACTTTGTTATTTGGTTTCATGCAGAGGTATTGAATCGCCCAAAAAATAATTTCACAACAATGAGATTTTATTCATATCTTCAAACCAATTCAAAGCCCATGCGTTTCGTTTTGACATAAATATACTTACATAGATTTACACAGTTATTTAGTTGAAGATACTCATATAAAACTAGTTTTCTTTATAAATGCACTTGCATGCTTATATAGTGATAGTTTAAAAAAATTATTTATGCTATAAATAGGTTGCGTAATTGGATCCGTAATCTCAAGCAAGTTTATTACCTCCTACTCAGTCCCCCAATCCTCCAACATCTCCCACATCTCCGCCATCTCCGCCCTCTACTCCTCCTCCTCCCTCTCCTCCCCTTCCTCCCTCACCTCTCTCTCCGCCCTCTCCATCTCCGATGAAACACACCAAGTCATGTCCATAATCACCACTAAGAGGCTCATCACTGGCACCAAGCGTCACACTCACTGCGCAATTTGCTACAAGAAATTCTCCCGACCAACGCTGCTCGTTCGTCATCTCAAAGTCCATTCCAACCGACGCCAACTTGGATGCCCAAACCAATCCAAGAGCTGCATCCCAGCCGACAGCACCGGCACAACCAATGAGAAGCCTTCGATGTGTGAATTGCGTAGTGACAATGCCATTGCCTCATCCAGTCTCATTCACTACACGAAACACAGGCATGCTCTTCCACCTCCTTCTCCACCACATTCTCCGCCACATTCTTCACATGCGCCTCATCCTCCGCCCCTTCCTCAATCACCACACAATCACCCTCGCCCTCCTCACACTAATACTCCTCCTCCTCCTCCTCCTCCT